AGAAAGAAAGAAAGAAAGAAAGAAAGAAAGAAAGAAAGAAAGAAGGAGAAGCGCTTCAAAATAATGTCTCCTCACCAAGATACAGTCATTCCAGTCACAGACTCAGAGAATTTGGGAATACCCACACAGATAATGGACAAAAATATTCCTATGAACATGCAGGCATCGATGAAGGATGTCTACTAGGAGGGCTATTTTTGCCAGCTAAATAATTAACTAACAAAAGATTCAAGGATAGGATAGACCATTGGCTTCCATCAGGTGCACGCTAGTAACAAAACTAGGTGCCAATAGCTGGTTTAAATCACCCAGTTGGCATACAAAATATATTTTACAAAACAAAACTAAAAGTGCTAATCTCAAAATGAACTGGTGCAGAAAGTGATTGACAGAGATGGAAGGAATAGTTGAGAGATTTTGGAAGAATAATCAGAGTACATTGTGGCATAAATGAAATTATCAAAAAAAACAAAATTAATATTGAATGCCTGGGGCAGAACACGGGTGTACTTTGCAATCACAGCAACAATCGTTCTTGGGTTCAGATATCTTCTACGTTACAATAGTTGTTAAAACTCCACACTCCATGTTCTTTTCGAAGATTGGAGATGGGTTCAAAATTTCATGTAACTTTCCCTAAATATGTGCATTATTGATAAATTGACTTAATTGTGTTCCTCACAGTCACTCATTTTTAGACCATATGTTGCCTACTGAGGCAGAAATGGACAAAGAAATTGAAACTTTCCATTACAGGAGATACAGGTGACCGATGTACTGACAAAGCTGTGCTTTTAGAGATGGTGCCTTTACCCATATGCTTGTCAAGTTAAGGAGAGTGGCAGAATTCTAACAACGGCAGCACATTTGAATAGTTTGGGGGAGAGGAGAGTGGGGAAGGTACAAGAGAGGACACCACCTTTGTTCACTGGCTTCCAGCAGCCCTGTCTGCCAGCCTATAGTGCTGTCATGAAGGGTACTTTGATGACTCCTGTTTCCACAAAACACATGAGACTCCTGGGGTTCTCCATCTCAAGATGTATTTATAAGGTTATGGACTAAGAAAAATAGAGGATAGATTTGGGGAGAATGTCTCAAAAAGCATCTTACCTTTCCTCCATTCTTCTTATAGGAAGTGGGAAGCTGCTCTGTGGGAAAGAAGAGTCCCCTGAGTCAGTTGTCGATATGAAACACGTCGTAGTACAGGGACTGCAGAGAAACTGGTGCTTGAAGCAGCATAATAAAAAGGGGAAGAAAGAGCTGTGGTTTCCCGCCCTTGGATCTGTACTGAGTGTCACTCCTTTGAGCCATGCTTTTCATGAGACTTTTCTCAATATTTGGCCTGGCCCCAGCTCTCGTTCTGTAATAGAGTACTGTGCATACTAAGTGGCATCTGAAATTCGCTACTGCATTTACTATTTCTAAAATATTTTAAATTGTTTCTCTTCTCATATGACATTTTAACAGATTTTTTTCTACAAAAAGTTGCTCCTTGATCTTGGTCCTCTCAAAGATGTGATCTTTGCAATGCCTTTGCTGGTGCTAACAGTGTGGACAGATTGAAATGAAGTCTTTCATTTTAATGAGACAGAAATTGGAGTAAGTTGAAAGAAAGTCACTGGAAATGGAACATTCATTCTGTGTCTATTTGAAGCTGTGACCTAAGGATCTTGGGCCTTTCCTGCACTGCTTTCAGCATTCTGCAGGAGAGAATATTGGTCAACAGTGAGGACAGTTACAGACTCAAGAGTTAGTGAAGCGCATACAGGAATGAGATGATTCTGGTAAGGTGGTTCTAAGGACACTGATGTCACTTTTACTTAAAAGCCCCTGTCTTCTTTCATGCTCAAAAAGGATGTTTGTTATCTTAACCATTATGAGGTCAGGGACCAAGGAGGAGAAAAGTTAAGGAAATCCTCCAAATTGATAAGGGCATTGTCTCTCAAAATTTATCTGTTTAGCCAAAGCAGAGATTTTATCACTGCAGGATTCCCTGCAGAAGCCAAGCTCGACATTCACTCTTCATGGAAATGTCCTACAAGAACCTGTGGAGAATCAGGTTGAAGGTCTGTCACTGATGATGTGAGGACATAAAGCTGAGAACCAACACAGAAATAGCTGATGATGTTGCATCATCAGAAGGAAAGATAGGTAGACCGCAACAACAACCAAGAATGTACCCAAATCAGCCTAAACCTAGAAGAGTATGGCAAAATGGATGCATGAAGGCAAGCTATGAATGAGGAAGAACAGCAAAATGAGCATAAGCATTACCTAAAGCCTTGTCATGAGTAGCATGACAAAGGCAGGCAAAGCCCAGAGAACTAACAATAAAATAATTTGATAAATGCAATTTATAGTCAACTGTTTTAAGTAGCCAGCAACATTAGGATTTTACAGGATAGCAAGCAGCAGAGAGAGAATCCAGAACATGATAAATGCCAGCTGGCAAATGTTTTAGATGGAATTAGTGAGTGCTATACGGGGTTCAAGAGACAGATAAGCAATCCTCAGTGGTAATGACACTGATCATGCTCAAAACTGTAGTATAAGGAAAGGGGGACACAATTGTGAGGGATCTAGAGATGAAGACATTATGATAGAGAAGGTGAGTCATATCATGACATCAGGGGAGGTGGAAATCAGCACAGAATAGCTTGACATTGTTAGACAAAGATGACATCCTTGCCTATAAAGAAGCCTAATGGCAGAGAACAGTCCATTTCCTACTTTCTCCACCAAGGTATTCAGGTACAGGAAGACCATGTCCAGAATCTCCTTATCTTGAGCTTTCTGTATTTTGACAAAAGTCCTTTAATGATATTGGGATCTCAGCAGTCCCAACACTCTAACCCATGTCCTCAACCATATTATGACCTGAAAGCAGGAAAATAGTCTGAACAGGTTGTATGGGGCAGTTTTCTGGGACTTTGGGCTGATTACTGCTACTGTCCTGGAACAGAGCAGAAAACAAGAAATTTCAGTCACAATACATGGCCACTGCCAGTAACTGGCTAAGTACATCCAAGAGGTAGAAAGATATTATGATGGAGACTTATGAAGACAATGTCACCTCTTGTCATTCCCACTCTGATCCCCAAACAGTTAATGATGTCATCACCCATAATCATGACTGGTTTCCCCTCCCCACCCCCGTGAGAAAGCTAGGTGAGAATGGCCAGGGGTGATAAGACCTCAGGCATTAGTGGGTGAGTGCTATGAGAACAAACTCTAGGAAGAAAGGCTTCAAAAAGACAGCTCATTTAAGTGAGGGGGCAAAGGCTTTTTAAACCTTTGTGGTGAGTGCGGGCTATTGGGGCAGGTGAACCTCATTAGCCAGGGCCAAGGTGCGGAGAATACTCCATCTGCCTCTGGAGGAATTCCAGGTGCTTGCAGACATGACCTTGTATGGAGAGGGCCAGTTTAATCTGGCTGCTAGCTACAGTGTAGGAAAAGGAGGGGAGCAGGGTATGTGCTCTGGACACGCAGAGGGCGAAGAGTAGTCCTAATGCTGCTGATCTCAGAACAAGATTTCTGGGGTTTGGACATGCCTTGACCCCACTCTTGCTCCAGACCATTTCCTCCCCCTCAGTCCACAGCTCCCCAGCCCCACAGCCACTTGCTAAGACAGATATGAGGATGACCATACTTCCCAACTATGAAATGGCAACAGGGACAAGAATACCTTCATTTATTTTCTGTATTGCAGAAGTCTGTTTCTACATGGAGGTTATAGTGAGTAGTCATGAGATCAACAAATGAATAATGAAAGAAAGGAAGTAGAAAAGGGCAGGAAGAAAAAAAGGGAAGGAAAGAAATAATAGAAGGCATTATTATAGTTAAATTTTTAATCAATATTACACAAATATTTTGTTAATAAATTTAGTTCTTTAACAAGTTCATACGTACTTATAATGCCTCTGGTTATGCTTTTCTCCCACCTCTTCTTTTACTCACATACTTGTCAGACTCAGTTTTTTTCTTACAATTAACTTTTCCATATTCATAATATTCTCTCTCTCTCTCTCTCTCTCTCTCTCTCTCTCTCTCGCTGTGTGTGTGTGTGTGTGTGTGTGTGTGTGTGTGTGTGTGTGCATGTCCCAGAGTTAAATCTGGGTCATCTGTGTGACAATGGGTTTGGAACTCTCCATCACTTTCTGGTGAAATACAATGTTTTCCCTTCTTCCAGAATCTGTTATCTGCCAATTTACGAGCAGCAAGTAACAGAGTCCTCTGATCCCCTTCTCTGTACCTAGCTGAGTGTCTCATGGGCCCAACTTGTATAGGCCCAGTGCAAGTAGACAAAAAAGCTGTGAGTTCATAATTGCTTTGATCATGTCATGCTTAGAAGATAGCATTTCACAACTCTGCTATCTTCTGATCTTAAATTATTTCAGCCCCCTCTTTGGTAATATTTCCTGAGCATTAAGGGTGATGGAATAAATGCCTTGTTTAGGGCAGAGCCCTCCACTATCCTTTATTCTGAATACCTTGTACAACCATGCATCTCTGAATTGTCCTGCGTTCACTGCAAAAAGACACATTCCAGGTTAAGCCTTTGTCCAAGTTTGTAAATATAAAATTTGAAGCTGATTTGATACTATGTCAAGAGAGTTAAGAAACACTAGTAGGTCTTACCTATGGTTTAAGGCCTCACCAATCAGAGGTTCTTGATTGAATTTACAGTACTATGCATGGATTTGTTCTTGTGGTTAAAGTCCCAAATCCAATCAGGGAGCATGTTACTCTCTTTTTTTTTTTTTTTTATTTTATTTTTCTTTTTAGTTACATTTTGTTAACTCTGTGTCCCAGCTGTATCCCGCTCCCTCATTCCCTCCCCAACCCCACACTCCCTCCCTGGTCTCCTCCCTGCCCCTTTCCAAGTCCCCTGATAGGGGAGGACCTCCTCCCCTTTCATCTGACCCTGTTTTATCAGGTATCTTCAGGGCTGGCTGCAAAGTCCTCCTCTGTGGCCTAACAGACTGCTCCTCCCCTGGGGTGGGGGTCAAACAGCCTGCCCTTGAGATCCTATTAGAAATAGTCCGTGTTCCCCTTACTTTGGAAAACTACTTGGTTACTGAGCTACCACAGGCCACATCCGAGCAGAAGTTCTAGGTTATATCCATAGATGGTCCTTGGATGAGTGTCAGTCTCAGAAAAGACCCTGTGCCCAGATATATTTGGTCCTTGTGGAGCTCCTATCCTTTCCATATCATACTAACTTCCCTTCTTTCATATGATTCCCTGCACTCTGCCGAGGGTTTGGTTATGAGTCTTAGTGTCTGCTTTGAAACACTGCTAGGTAGAGTCTTTCAGGTGCCTTTTGTGATAGACTCCTGTCATAAGTTCAATGCACATCCCATTTGTCTTTCTAAATGAGGATTAATCACCTTCCCCTGTGTCCACTTTCTTGATTATCTTCTTTAGGTGTGTAGATTCTATTATGTTTATCATATCTTGTAGGTCTATATAAGCGAGTATATACCAAGTTTGTCTTTCTCCTTCTGGGATACTTCACTCAGAATGATCTTTTCTAGATCCCACCACCTGCCTGCAAATTTCATGATTTCCTCCTTTTTGATTGCTGAGTAGTATTCCATTGTGTAAAAATACCACAATTTCTGTATCCATTCCTCCGTTGATGGACATCTGGGTTGTTTCCAAGTTCTGGCTATTACAAATAAAGCTGCTATGAACATGGTTGAACAAATGTCCTTGTTGTGTACTTGAGCAAATTTTGGGTATATACCTAGGAGTGGTATAGCTGGGTCTTGAGGTAGCACTACTCCTAGTTGTCTGAGAAAGCGCCAGATTGACTTCCAGAGTGGTTGAACCAGTTTACATTCCCACCAGCAATGGAGGAGGGTTCCCTTTTCTCCACAACCTCTCCAGCATGTGCTATCACTTGAGTTTTTGATCTTGGCCATTCTGATGGGTGTAAGGTGAAATCTCAGGGTCGTTTTGATTTGCATTTCCCTAATGGCTAATGAGGTTGAGCATTTCTTTAAGTGTTTCTCTGCCATTCGATGTTCCTCTTTCGAGAATTCTCTGTTTAGCTCTGTTCCCCATTTTTTAAGTGGATTACTTGGTTTGTTGCTTTTCTGCTTCTTTAGTTCTTTAT